GTGTATGAGAGTGGGACGTACGAGAAGCCGTTGCACGAATTCGACGGACAATATTACTTCCCTCCCGAAAATCGTTGTTCTGGATTCGCAGATGCGTGCTTTGTTATTATCGATACGCGCTTCCGACCTTACTCGGTATTGTTGCCATTTAACGAGTTGATCGTCATTCCGTGGACGGCAGTAGAACCCCACTGGCCGCGCACTCTGTGCACCGAATGTCAGCGTTTTGAGCGCTACGAGTCCAGGGGTTTCCACTACCGTGTGTGGAGTGAAGACGAGCATAAAGAAAGAGCCACACGGTTGAGACCATCCACGTCGGACTCGGAACTAACCAACGAGCGACGACGAGATTTGATACGGAAACGAGACACGCGAAGCGTGCCAAAATCTTTTTGCTCCAAACGACGGGTGGTAGCTCGGTGGGAAGCCCGACAATATTTTTTGGATTGAATTTGGGTTTTTCTGTTTTCGCGCCACGTCCGAGCGCGCATTCCGCGATGCGCGAAACTAACCAACTTGCTCCATCGGACCAACACGAGGGATTTCAGTTCCGTCTGTGTCCCCACACTGAATTCCCAAAAATCCTTGGCACACCCCATCTTGCTGTTTTTCTGGGCCTCTTTCCGCATGACTAACACTCCGAACGGAAGACAGCACAGGGCGTGAGGTTAGCGCGTCACAGAGTATAGACAAGCAAGTGGGTAAGTAGCAGTAGCAAAGTGATGGAGGAGAGAAGGATGAACACATGAGAAAGATTGAAGGACAAATAGAAATAATGAAGCTAAGAAGGATGAACACATGAGAAAGATTGAAGGACAAATAGAAATAATGAAGCTAAGTGTAGCATTTGTTTGAATAAAACTAGAGAACATACAAGATTTTTATGTATTTGTATATGCTAGAAAAGTTTCTCCTTGCCTTTATCTTTTTCTGTTTCTTTCACTCACATCACATACACACACATACACACACATACACACACATAGACACCTACATATCCATAGCTACATACAGACACACACATACGTATTAAAAAAAAACATATACCCTTATGCACAGACGCAAAAGTGATGAAACTTTTACTGGTGCTCTTCTACTTGAGGACCGGTCCAATGCCCCCCACTTCTTTTTGGGGTCCACTTCCGCCCGAGGACCTGTCCTTCGTTTTCCAAAAGTCCTAGTTTTAGAAGAGCTAGCTGTAGGTAGTCCGCAATTTTGCCAAGGACCGGTCGCCCAAATTTTTTTGCCCCCTAAGAACCCACCGGTCCCACATTTTTCAAAGAAACAGCCACCCACCCCCAAAATGTCGTGCCTGCACCTGCCTGCATTGTGCGAACCTTCCAACGACCAGACGACCGGTATAACGAAGGATGACAAAAATGTCTCAGGGGGGGAAATGCACCCCTGACGGGCTGCGAACTGCAGAGAATGATGTCCTCTCAACAGGCAGTTACAGCTGACAGACACTCTGCAAATGGTGGTGACGAGTGTCACAGCTAGGCCCTCCTTCCCATTCCAGTTACCGAGCTCCAAAACGTGTAGCTGCCTACATCATGCGGAAAACGCGGGGATCCCAAACATCCAATGACACAGCCTCATCATGTATACATATAACGCCCGCTTCGTCAAATTTCGCGGACGAAGACAAGGCCGTCGATCCCAAAATCCATCGATGAACGCTCGCACTCGCCCATGCCACACATTATTAAAAACTACAACTACATGGTAAGACAGCTGGACTCGGGCCCGGGAACAGGCCCGCAGTTGGTCCTACGGAAAATGCCGGTTTACCGCATTCAGATGACTGAAGGAGGCGGAGGGATGTAGCATCCACGGTTGTTTCACTAATGCATAAGCGGAAAGCTTGCGCAAGGATGACACGCATAAATCGAAAGATATTGCCCTGAAAGCAGTCTGCGCAACCTGCACTTGGGACTGCCCGTGCCAGAAGGCGAAAAGTGCAGCGTCCCATCACCACATGGAGGAACGAGGTTGCAAAAGTAGCTGGGGTGAAAAAGTTTGACCGTGTGCGAACAATTGGGCGGGAAGTCTTCAGGGGCCAGCGAGGAGACTTGTGTGAAACGGCGCAAGGGAGGCCAACAGGGCAGGTGCTCGTGGCTACCGGAGCCTCTGGACGAGTCGCAGAAGTTTCATCGACCAGAACCAGAAGGACGGCGGGTGCGCGCCGTGAGTGAGAAACGGAAGTATGGGCGCAGCATTTCTGATGAGCATTCGTCGGAGGTGACGATGCGGGCTCACATGTCTCGCCGTGTCACAGGTCGTCAGCCAGGTCGGCAGATGTAGGTAGACAGGAGGGAGGCCCTTGTTGCTGGTGAATGGGGGTGCCTCGAGCGAGAACGCATATTGGCGTTCCTGTAGGGAAGTTGTCCCGGCGCCTTCGGCCGTGCGTCCACACCTGCTCCTTTCGTGCGCCCCTGAAGCCGCCTGTTCGCCCCGTCCTCCCCGTCCTCCCCGTCCGCCGAGGCCTCCCCCCTTCGCCCTTTCGCCCGCGCGCTTCAGCCCCCTACCCTCCGCCTGCAATCGCGGACGCCCCTGGGGGTCCCACCTGGAAAGGCTGCACTGTTGCCTGTCCCGTGAATGGCTACTACGCATTGTAGATCTCGGGCGCAGTAATGGGAAACAGTTGTATTGGGACTGGCGCAGGTGGCAGCAACGGGCTGATCCCGCCAGAGACGGAGGTTGAGAATCCTTTGGCGATGGCGACTCCCAGCAGCCATGGCAGCCCGGGTCAAGGGAGCGGGTCGCGAGCGGGAGGGAAAAAGAAGCCTGTCATGAGCGCTCGCCCGAAACCACCGCCTACGAATCAACGCTCTGTTCTCCAAAGAGAAACCGAAAACGTGAGAACTCTCTATACCATCGGAAGAGAATTGGGAAGAGGGCAATTTGGCGTGACGTATTTGTGTACGGAGAAGCAAACGGGCTTGCAGTATGCGTGCAAGTCCATAGCTAAGAGGAAGCTGCTTCAACCCGAAGATGTGGAGGATGTGAGGAGGGAGGTCCATATAATGCATCACCTGTCTGGCCATCCCAATATTGTGGCTATAAAGGGGGCGTACGAAGATGCCACGTCCGTACATTTGGTGATGGAATTATGCGCAGGAGGGGAGCTGTTCGATAGGATAATTCAGAGAGGACAATACAGTGAGAGAGCGGCTGCGCAGCTCACTCGGACAATCGTGGGGGTGGTGAGGCAGTGTCACTCGCTGGGCGTCATGCATAGGGACCTCAAGCCAGAGAATTTCCTGCTGGCGAGCACGGGCGAGGACGCGCCTCTGAAAGCTACCGACTTTGGCCTCTCCGTTTTCTTCAAGCCCGGTATGACAGTCGTCTCCGCATAGCGAACTTTCCTTTTCTCTATCCATCGCTCTTGCGCGCCATCTCATGTCGCGTTCCGCTGCTTCGATTCGTTTCGCGCTCGATCTTACGCTGCTCGTACGATGTGCGGTGCTCTGCCTCTGTCCCTTTTCCAAATTCGTGGCCTCTCCTCTTTCTCTCTGTGTCTCTCTCCCTCCTTCCCCCCCCTCCCCGCCCTCCCCGCGACTCACTTCGCCGCCCCTCCCTCCACCTCTCTTCTTCCTCCCTTTTCCTTTCCTTCCCCTTCCCCCTCCCTTCCCCTCCCTTCCTCTACCCTCCCTGCTCTCCCTGTCCTTCCCGGCATATCTGCCACTTTATCTCTACCTTACGTATTTCCCGAGCCTCTCTCTCTCTCTCTCTCTCTCTCTCTCTCTCTCTCTCTCTCTCTCTCTCTCTCTCCCTCTCTCTCTCTCTTCCAATTCGCACGTCTTTCGAGCGCTCCTTTCCAATCGTGAGGGTGGTGCTTGCTGTCTAGTGTTCTCCGTCTCCTTATTCTCTCTCTCGGTGAGCTGCGTTTTGTTTTTCTAGACTGAGATTCGCTCTCTCCGGTATCCACTCATGGCGCGTGCCACTGCCTCTCTGCGAATCTCACCTGATACGCTTTCTTAAGCCGGGCATCTCTATGCCTTCGGTTCTTACCCTCTCCTATTCCCGCTGTATTCGTATGCCTCCGGTTTCTACCCCGCTTGCTATTTACTAGCATTGCGCTGTTATGGTCTGTGTTACTTGTCATGCAGCCAATTCCGGCCTTCCAGCTTGTGCGTGTGTGTCTTTCCTCCCACCTCGTGGACCTGTCTCAGCCAGTGGATCATCCACATTATGCCTCGAGCACCGGTCCTGGATGCTTCCACTTCCGCGGATCCCGTGCACTCCTTGCCCTTTGTCTCTCGGCTTTCCGCGCAGATATGCTGCTCGTCTCATGTCTGAATTGCTATCTCCGCTTCTCTCCCGCCATGCGCAGCCCTTCGCGCGCTCTTCCGCTTTGCGTGGCATTCTCCGCTTCTCGCTTTGTGGATCCTCTGCGAGGCTCGCTGTCTACCCCTGGGTTCTGCGCAAGGCCTCGCTGTTCGCCGCGGCTCACTGCTCATGACTGCGCGCAGCCACTTCCTCCGTCTTGACTCCGCGCGCCTGTTTCCCTCTCGTCTCTCCTCTACTTCGGGTGGCCTTCCGCGCTCCTGTCGGATTCGCGCAGCCCTCTACGCTCCCATTGTCGCCGTGCGCCCCTCTCCCCACGCGGCTTTGCCCACCCCTCCTGGTTCTCTCACCTCAGTATAAGCAAGCAATCCTTTGCTGATTGGTAAGTGCTAAGTGCGTTTCCTCGTGCTTCCTTTGCTGTTCCTCTCTGTCTTGTCTTCCCTCGTCCATCTCGTACTCTGCATTCCTTCTCTTTTCTATCTTCATCCGCTGGGGAAGTCTGTGCCCCTCTCCTGTGGGTTGTCTTTGGGCTTCTGTGTGCCCTACTGACATCCCCTTCTCTTGTATCCCGTCCTCATTTTGCGCAATCGCGCTTCATGTGATTGTTTCAAGTCAGTCCGGGCAGTTTCAGTGACTGCATGGATATCTCTGAAATACACGGACGAAAGATCCTCGCCAACTCCTGTTTGATCCTCGCCAACTCCTGTTTGTTTTGATCCTCGCCTATTTCCTGTTCGATCACTTTTCGCTCCTCTCCCGATTCCGTTTCGGTGTTTCGCTCCGCTCACCATCTTAACCGCGTCGCCTAGTCTTTTGCTTTTCCCTCTATTCCTCCCTGTCCTGCGTCTGCGCCAAGTGTGCTTTAGAATGCTTTTCGATTTCTGCGCTGTCTGCCCGCCTCTCCTGCTGGCACCCGGCGACTTTCTCAGTTCTCTGCCCTTTATGTGTCGCTCTTCCACAACCACGCTCGTCATTTTTTTGCCTCCCTGGCTTGTTATAAGTCTCAAAATCAGCATCGCCTTCTCGGGCTGCGATTCCTCTTTTATGTCGCAGGTGTTCGGCTGCTGTTTACCTCTTCTGTTATGGAAGGGGGTCTAATTGCGCTTTCAGATGTGTTCGAGGGTTTTCTCATTTCATGGCTAACACCAGGTGAGAATTGTTCGTTTCAAAATACTATAGTACTACTTAGTCATGGCCCGTTAGTGGGCCTGTTCGTGTATTGGTTAGTGATCGAGTTTCTACAGATTTTTTATCGAATCGCTACGGTTGCCCATCACAGCAGCAGCACGAGAGGTGTAAGTTTTGAGTTCCAAAAGGTTAAAAATCCATTTCCGAGAATGTCTACGGTTCGGATACGGCCGCCGCACGAGTGCTGCCGTTGCGGCGAGTTGGTGGTGTATGATGCATGCTGCTGTTGAGGTCTCTGGAGTCGCGCATGTAGCAGCGGATTTTCCTGATCATCTCGTTTTGATGGCCACCATTGAGGATGGCCGCCAGTTAGGATTCATGAGCGACATGGCAGTGCATTGTCTCGCAGATATGCTTTGCGGCGTCCACCGTTTGTGATAGAAGTGTTTTTTTTTTTTTTTTTTTTTCGACTAGTTATTCGCTTATCGGTATGCGAACTTCGGTCGACGGATTCGCCATTTCCTGATTATCTCGTTTTGATGGCCACCATGTAGGATGGGCGCCATTTAGGATTCATGACCGACATGACAGTGCCTTGTCTCGCAGATATGCCTTCCGGCGTCCACCGTTTGTGCTTGAGGTGTTTTTTTTTTTTTTGTTTTCGACTAGTTATTCGCTTATCGGTATGCGAACGTCGGTCGATGGATTCGCCATTAGTTTATTGGACCAGTGAATCAATGGGGGGCCGTGTTTTGGAGTTATGCGATTCCCTTGAACCTTGGATTTTTTTTGAATCTGGATAGATTGCTGTGAGCTTTTTGCCTGACGGAGGATGGTGATCTTGATCCTCTCGCCGTGTTCGATGCCGCAGCCTGGCCGAAACGCGTCGAGAAATGCGCGCGTCCCCCCCCCCCCCCCCCCCTCCCCCTCCTCCTTTGAATTCAGTGTATGCGATTTTGGTTGCTAATCTGAGGAAGCATATGTGAACGACAGTGTGTTCGGCTTCTGTTTATCATTATTACTATCACTAGTTTTCTCTGACTCTCGTTGGGGGGCAGATCTTTTCTGTCGTTTAGCTCGTTGGGGCTCTTAAGTGCGCCGACGCCGTTTGTAATAGTATGTAAGAAGCGTGCTTCAGAACGCAAGGAATAAAATTTTTGATGCCTCTTCAGAAGCCCATTTCCAGTCCTCCTTTGCCGGAATCGTTGCTGGGAGCTCGGCTTGCAGTTTTCATTTTCAGATAGAAAAATAAGTCGGGCGCTCATGATCTCTATCCTTTGTTTTTCTTTTCATTATAGAAGGCGACGGCCTTGAGGTATCATCATGGAGTTGTTCGACCCCAGGTAATTCAGATTTGTTTTATTCATCTGATTCCAGCGGGGTTGGAACTTGGGTCTGCTTATGAATAGTTCACGGGCCTACCTATCATTCAGTTCAGCCACATGCACTGGGTGATCGCTATGTATCGTTCGCTAGGTCCTGTTTCCGAAAAAGGGGAGTGATTATCTCTACCGTAGGCCTGTCATGAGAACGTGTTGGAATTTGTAGCGAAGGTCTCTGGCTTTAAGATTGCCCGTGGAAAGGCCCCAGTGACCTCAGAGATAATTTTAATTTACCCGAAAGGAAGCATTCAAGTTGTTTTATTTTAAGATTAGATTTGGTACGCTAACTGTGGGAATCAGGGAAAAGGGCATCTTTGTGGTGGCATTGTCATTCATTGCATCGGTCTGCAATAAGCCTCTAGAAAGAGCAAGTGCACGCTCTCTGCGGTACATAACGTGAACCCAGAATGAATTGTGGTCAGCGTGGATATGGCCGGGACAAACACCGACAGCAATGCAGGCTATGGTTTTGGATGAAGCGTTGAAATCATGTCATGTCTTTTGACCGGCGTCTCTATTCAAGTCTGAATTTCATTGCGCACCCTCTACCGGTCCAAGCGCGTCAGTCTTCGTAACTGTTTCCAAGTGCGCCACATCTGGCGCAAAACACCAGCTCTGGTAGCGGCGCGTGCATACAGCTCCGGTTTTTGTGCGATTGATTAGGGTACCGTCCATTTTACCTATAGACCGATGTGCGTTCCTTTCTCGATCCAGAGCTTGAAGGACCGAGCGTGGGCGGTGTAGTTTCTGGAGCGTCAGACTGATGAGATGCGAGCGACCATTTCGTTGTCAGGTTTACGTAGGATGCACTATGTGCGCTGTGCCACGTTTCCGTGATCTTCCTGTTCCGATTTATGCCTGTCATCCTGGCCCAGGGGCCATGCTAATCTTGTCTGTATCGTTCCATATATTTTAACGGATGTCCCGGAGGACGTGATGTTCCTGTTGCTCTTGCCCTCTGTCGAGGCTGCGGGGAAAATCGAAGCATGTCTCGGGCGGGATGGAATTGCCACGGGAAGGCTGGCTATCGACTACGACCGTCGGTCAACGGCGCTGTTGAGTGGAAACGACGCGCGCATGTCTGATCGTCGTCAAAAATAGTTCCATGTTACCGTCACGTATCCCTTTTCGGGGGGGGCTTAGTTAAATGTCCATCTGCTTTCTTTGCCGGGACAGGAAATGTCTATATTGTATTTTACTATCAAGTTATGAATGTGCGGAGCGTGAACCAGATGAACTGCGTAGTGGTTTCTTCTCTTTTTTCTTTTCCACATGAACTTGGCGATACGTTTATACGGTATTTCTTTTTTTTGGGGGGGGATCCTTCACAGGAGTTGTCAGAACCCGTGAGACCGGTATATATCCTCTTCGGGAAGCACCTGGTCATTGTGTATGCACGTTGGAGCATAGCTATGCTCCTGACTGTCGGCACGTCGAGGTATAACCTCGAAAAGGCATTCTCCATCGCGACAACAGGTCCTAACATAGGTAAATTTTCTTTTCTCTGTATTGCTTCTCTGTATTGCTTCTCTGTAT